CAATGGAAGTCTATAGCTGCCCATATGCAATGATCAATCCAATGGAAATCTATGGCCTAACAATCAAAAGCAAGGGCAGGAGAAAGGACAGTGAGTGTGAGGGGGATAGAGGGCCATTTTACATTCAGGTATATTCAAATAAGGTTCACAAGATTGAGTGGAAATTGTCCATTCTACCACTTGTAATTTTGGGCCTGCCTTCCTGTTCATATCCATAGAGGTTTTCTTTGATGTAGAGGAACTAGTGCTAACAAAAACTATCAAAGTCTGTTCTTAGCATTTGAACTGTTTCTTCGAGCTGGTCATAGTCTGTGGACATCATTTTACAGCTACAACAGGATGCCATACAACCCAGTCTGTAAGCACTAGTTGTTTAAGGAGCTATCCACTAAGCATCAGAGAGGTTGTTCTGCTTGCTAAATGGTGTTGAACTTGGATCCTTCTACAGCTAAAGGCTCTACAAGCGTACTGTGATTGCCGGCCACCAGTTTAACTTATTCTTCTTTGTATGATCCACTGATGAAACCTGTTTCTGTTCATTATCTCACAACTTCACACTTCCCTTTAAAAATTCCACTTTTTCTCCCCATTTTACTTTAAATTCATTGTGAAGTCATTGATTTCTTTGTTCCTCATTTAAAAGTTGAATATTTGCTTTCACCATTCTGTTCCATCTGATTGCTAGTTTGTTTCTTCCGTCTTGATAAACTGACTTCTTTTTGACCAGTGTTCCTCATGAACTTGTTTTTTCCTCCAACTCTGCTTCTGCCTTTGGCAATGCTCCATCATCCTTCTTAAGGCTAGGATCGCCTTGGAATTTGGAATTTATCTAAAACTGCCCCGGTTTGCTCAGACACCACACTTCTTGGAAAGCACAGGTCATCGTTCTTTCATCGACAAGCTCTTTTCCCAACGTGATTACTGAAGTTCTGATATGGATGTCTTCCAACAAAAGGTAAAGCTGCCATAGTCCTACCAGACCACAGAGCTGCTCTGTCATTCAAGACAGAAAGCGATGCCTGGTGGTGGTTTAGCCTAGGGGTCACAACACCTCAGGTGAGGGGACAGGTTGAGAAAAAAAGTACTTCAATTGTAACCTCAACTAATGCGAGAATTGAACCCACGCGGTGGGCATCACTCTGCATCACAAACTGCCAACTGAGCTAATCTTATCCTAATGTCACCCAATGCAGTCCATCCTTTGCAATGGTCTTACACATTGCTGGAAATTGATCATCCATGTGATTGATGCTCATGGATTCTAATCAATTTCACTAAGAAATTACCAGGATTCAGCAGCCCCAATTCTTGCACCCATGCCAGCAACTCCCTCACCAGCATCTAGAAAAGTCAAATCTCCACCCACTCTAAAGAGGGTACACTCTTCTTAAAAGATGCCATCCAAAACTGGAACCAATATTTGAACTTGCTGCCTGAGCTGCATTGGCTCAGCATTAATCATTTACATAGGAAGTACAGACAGAATCAGGCCATTCAATTGACCTGCTCTATGCTGATGATATGCTCCATGTTAGGGTGCAGGAGAGTTTTACCAGGATGCTGCCTGATTAGAGGGTATGAGCTATAAGGAGAGGCTAGGAAAACTAGGGTTGTTTACTCTGGAGCAGCGGAGGCTGAGAGGGGACTTGATAGGTCTATAAAATTATGAGATGTATAGATAGGTTTGATGGTCAGAATCTTTTACCTAGAGTTGAAATGTCTAGTATTAGGGGGCATGCATTTAAAGTTAGAGGGGGAAAGTTCAAAGGAGATGTAAGGGGCAAGATTTTTTACACAGAGTGGTAGGAGTCTGGAACACGCCTGCAAGGGATGGTGATGGAGACAGATACATTAGGGATGTTTAAGGGGCTTTTAATAAACACATGAATATGCAAGGAATTGAGGGATACATACCAATGGCAGGCAGAAGGATAAATTTAATTTGATTTCATGTTTGGCACAACATCATGGGCTGAAGGGCCCGTTCCTGTGCTGTACTGTTCTATGTTAGCCTCCATCCATTTTCCTTCGTTCACCTCTATCAGCATAACTTTGGTGGTCTAATCTCCTACTTATGGAACTGTGTGCTGTGAGTCCAAAAAACCTTCCCAAAGGTAATTAGGGATGGGCAATAAATGTTGGCCTTACCAGTGATGCCCACATCCTGTGAGTAAACAAATAAAAATTTGAGATATCAACTGTTCCCCTCACTCTTACTGCATTGAATATCTCCTTAAAGATTTCAAATGCAAATTCCTCTGCATTAGGCTTCGTCTGAGATCTGCCCCAATCACTAACTTCATCACATTCTTCACTAATTCGACATTTCTAAATTTAAAACAAAATGCTGTAAAATCCATACGTGTGGAGGATCAATATGCAATGTAAAATCACATTAGTGCAGCTGTGAGGAATGTTTCCCAGTTCACTCTGGGAACAGTCAAGCTATCAAGGTAAATCTACAACTTGCGATGTAAATTGAGAAATTTTCTGGATTTTGAGTTGGAATTTTTTTTGTAAGTATGAAGTTAATAATTAAGTAGCAAGTATTTCTGCAGCGGAAAGATATGTCTGTCTGTGTGTTTGTAAAGGAATTAAAACGTTATTTTGTCATGTTACATGTCAACGGTTTGAAACCTGGGGCTAGAGTCAAATTATTGTAATACATAATGATTCTTAAGTACAGAAACATGGTCCATGTTTTCCGTTAACCTGGGTCAGAATATCAGGGAAATGGGGGAATTCTGCACACTTATTTTAAAATCAAAACTTCTGTGATAACTTCAGGGAGTTGGCAGGGGGATGATTTATAGAGCACTGCTACAGTGAGGCATAACAAAAGATTCAAGGACATGTTGTCAAGGACATGTTGATGACCACTACAGACCTCACGCACAAAGTACCCCACCCCCCAACAATGATGGCACTTGGTTCATGGTAATCTTAATTGGAATACTGTGTAACATCCTATAATCACCCGTGAATTGATAAATAAATAAGAGCTTGGGAGACTTCGGGAAGTCCTGCTCAATTGAAAATCAGAAACCACTGGCACTTACCTCCTTCGCTTATGGCCACTGTAATCTCCACGTACATCCGCGGAGCGGGACTCAGGTCCGATACTCCGTTCACAGCCTCCACCCTGAAGGTGTAGTTGACGTATGGTAACAGGTTAACCACAGTGACGGCCGTATCGACCAATCCCAGCTGCTGGGGGACAAACTCAATGCGGCTGTCACACGGCCCACACGTCTGGAGGGTCACCGCACAGGTACTGCACAGAGCGTTGTACATGACATCTGTCCGACCCCCACTGTCCTCAGGGGGCTTCCAGTCTAACAGCACCGTCGCATGCCTGGTACTGTAGCCGAGAGTTTGTGGAGCAGTTGGGGGTTCTGTGGGGGGAACGAAACAGAGCAACAGCGTCAAGTGCAGGAGCACAAAGAGGTTCTTTCACTATTGCACTTGCCGTTTTTTAGTAATTCATAGAATCCCTACAGTGCACCATGAGGCCGTTCGGCCTATCAAGTGTGCTCCAACCCTCCGAAGAGCATCCCACTCTATCCCTGTAATCCCACACGGGGTTTTTACCATGCTTAACCCATGCAGCCTGCACACCACAGGGCAATTTAGCATGGCCAATCCATCCTAACCTGCACATCTTTGGATTGTGGGAGGAAACCAGAGCACCCGGAGACACAGGGAGAATGTGCAAACTCCACATGGAATGGCACCTGAGGGTGGAATTGAATCCGGGTCCCTGGCACTGTGAGGCAGCAGTGCTAACCACTGAGTCACCATGCCACCTTATCCATCACCTCCAATTACATGTTGGATATTCAGCTCACTTTAGTTTTATTGATAGGGATCCCACTGCAGATTAAACAATAAAGTGTAAAATAAATGTAGTGGGATTTGCTGTCAATCCTAAATCCTTTGCCAATGTAACAATTATTTCTACACGAAGGAAGCTGATAATGTAGCCATTGAAATAGCTTGTTTTGTGGATGATTTCAAAATGGAAACATAACCAGGAACCAAGTGAGAAGTTTTCACCGAAATTTGGGAGCAGCAAATAGCGCTGTGCTGCAGACCAAGGATTGTACTATACAGTGACTCCTTCACTTAAGGTGTAGCCTTCCAATAAGAAAAAGGAAATAGGTTTATTCCACATGGTAATCCTTTGAGGTCCTAATTTATTTTTCCATTTTCACCACCATGGTGATTAACAAAGCTTCCCATTCCTGCGTTGCCAAAGTTTTAATGGCAAGAAAAATATACCCATCTGAGACAAGTCTTAGGGTATTAAAGAGGGATTCAAGCTTTTAACTTTCACACACGGAGCTGCCAACCCTCCGGCTTGGCGTTGGAATCTCCGGGAATAAAAGCCAAATCCTTCGATCATCTGGAACGCTGTTCCTTGCATCTCAATCTCTCGTCTTAGAGTATCCCTGTTGCCCGTGGGTTGCTAATTATGGATTGTGCCATGCTATCACTACAGGGCAAAGCAAGAACGCGAAGAATGCCCTTCACTGTTATGTGGATTCTGTTGGCCAGTTTTGCACCACACTGCAGCCATCTCACAAAGTGGCCACTCAAATAGGCATATAAAGATTATTTTTGCTTTAGAGTTTTCATTGGACAACCTTGTTATTCACAGGCAGTAAATCATAACTTCCCTACAGTATGGAAGCAGGCCATTCAGCTCATCGAGTCCATGCTACCCCTCCAAAGAACATCCCACCTGGACTCACCCTCTTACCCTATCCCTGTAACCACGCATTTCCCATGGCTAGTCCAACTAGCCTGTACGCTATGGGATGGACATAGCACGGCCAGTCCACCTAACCTGCACATCTTTGGACTGTAGGAGGAAACCCACGCAGACATGGGGAGAACGTGCAAACCCCACGCAGACAGTTCGCCCCAGGGTGGAGTCGAACCAGCACGGCGGCAATGCAAACCACTGAGCCACCATATCACCCTACGGCACAAATGGTGCTTGACTGACAGTAAATAATTGTCCAATCGAAGAAGGAAGATTGGCAGTTTGCTTTCTGATTGTTAGAGCTCATGGTGATGGATATGTCAGACAATCAATGATAGGAGCTTGGGGGGGGCGTGGTTTGGAGGCAGGATGTCGGGTGAACATTTGAACAATACAAAGAACTGCGGATGCCGAAACAAAAAGAGAAATTGTTGGAGAAATGCAGCAGCTTTGGAGAGAGCAGAGTCAGTGGTTCAGGTTCAGTGACCCTTCTTCAGAACCAGGTCAGGTAAACACTCCTGCAGGAGGATGTCTGACCAGAGCTCCCACAAGCTTCATGGTCACCAAGCCAACAAGGATTCTGGCAGAGAGACCCACAACTAGAATCTCCACTTGCTGGCTCTCTGGAAGGACCACGTGTGAGAGAGGATAACAGAGGTAATATCGACCTCAGTGGAGGAAAAGAAAGCAGGCATTAGCATGCAGGAAAACTAAAAGTGATGTGACTTTCATTAAAGTATGCAACACGACATAGGAACTGAATGTATACGGGCACCAGACTGCAGGCATTGGAGTGCAAATTGGTTTCAGATGGCCTGGAAATCCCTGGTGAACTGTATGATTCAGTACAGAGGTAGATGCTGCTCTCCAATTTTAAAAATGAGAATTGATTTCTTAAAATAGCCAATTTATTAGATTTAAACTAATTCAGACCCATTAACACAGATGGGGCTGAGCATCTACAGCAGATCCAGCAATTACCTTCCAACTCTTGACTGGAATCCATTGGAAACATCCATAGAATTACACAGCAGTGAAAGAAGCCAATCAGCCCATTGTATCTGTACTAGGCCTTTGAGGGAGTGATCAAATTAGTCCTAGTCCCTTGTTCTTTCACCCTTACAAGTCTTCCATTTTCAACATCTGTCCAACTTCCTCATGAAAGCTACTCATTAATCTGCTTGTTGCCACACTGAACTCTGTTCATTTGTCGGATTGTAACAACTCCCTGTACAAAACTCAATTTGCCTCACCCACTTGAGTTCTTTTGCCAATTATCTTAAACCTGTTCATCTGGTTGCTGATGTTCTCCTAGTGAGAGTGATTTGCTTTACATTCCTAATGATATTGAACACTTCTATGTAATCTTCCCTTAAGTATCAATGTCTGGAGAATGATCGCAGCTACACTGATTTCTCCATAATCCCTCATCAAGAATTGTTTAGATCAATATCTGGTGTTGACTTCAGTTGTGGAATAGTGGTGGCTTCTGCACTTGGTGACCTTACACCTAATATAATGGAGTGGGGACTCCTTATACTGCTTCTCCTAGTACACACTGGATCATGGGGAACATGGGATGCCAGTCCTCTTGAGGCTAACCAGCCCTGCAAAATGACAAATAAAAACCGAAAGCACTGCAGATGCTGTAAATCAGGAACAAAAACAGAAGTTGCTGGAAAAGCTCAGCAGGTCTGGCAGCATCTGTGAAGAAAAAAATCAGAGTTAACGTTTCGGGTCCGGTGACCCTTCCTCAGAACAGAGGAAGGGTCACCGGTCCTGAAATGTTAACTCTGATTTTTTTCTTCACAGATGATGCCAGACCTGCTGAGCTTTTCCAGCAACTTCTGTTTTTGTTCCTGCAAAATGATGAATTGGGTCGTGTCAGGAGATCCAGAACAGGAAAGTGTAGGAAACTGCAAAATTGATCCCCGTTACATATAGATTCAGAGACTTGCTCGGGGGTTTCTCAGACAGGGAGAGACAGTTGGATTGGCGGTGGGGGGTGGTGTGGTGAGACGGTGCCTACTGTGGCTCAGACAGCAGATATTCTGATAGCAAGAGGCAAGAGCAATGAAAAATGCACCACAGATGTACAGGGCTCCCCCAACACCATTCTCCATTAAAGCTGCAGACTCGCACATTCACCTCATTGATAAAATCACAGCTAAAGTTGTTTGGGGCCAGCATCTTTAACCTGAGACATCTTTTAATTTCTTATCTGATGATATCCAATTAAAAGAATTCTCTGAAACAATATACAGACCTAATCAAGCCACATGCAACCTGCTAAACTGGTCAGAACTGATCACTCACTTCAGCAGTGGTACATAGGCAATGATGCCTCACTCTTCCATCACCTGCACATTAATTTCAATCTTCCAGGCCGGTCGTAACACACAGCCTCCAGTTTCATCATCAGAGCACACACAAAACTCACACTTCTATTTAGGGGACACAGCCTCCAATCTCACACATCATTATCCCCCATTCTTATACTTTCAGTGGCTCAAACATAAAGCACTGGAGGCTGGGGATTTTAAACAAACATTTCAATTGAAGATGGGGAAAGGGGAAAGGGGAAGAATAATCACATGATTAAACCTAGGGTTCAAAAAAGCTTGTCTTTAATATCTCAAACAAGAAGGAATCTAATCACTTCCCCATGATATTCTATAGCATCACCATTGCTGAATCCCCATCATCAACACCCCGACCAGGAATTTAACTGAACCTGCCACATAAACCATGTGGCTATAAGCACAGGTCAAAGGTTGGGATTCTGTGCAGAGTAGCTCGCTGCCTGATGATATCCCCATCGACAGGACATTAGCCGGGGATGTGATGAAATACACAGCTTAGGGTCCAGCTCAAACAATACTCTGTAAGCCAATGTATGGTTTTCTTTGCTATTGTATTAATCACTTTAGATCAGGTAACTGTCCTGATCTCTCTTTCATGTGCTTGTGGTGAAGCCCTGTGCACTCAGATTGTCTCATGGCAGCGGAATGGAAGATTGAAGGAGAAATGGTACTTTCACTGAAGAACTGCATTGTGGGTTTGAGACCATAAGGCAGGATGGGGAATTTGGTCAAGACACAGATTTGCTAAAGTCTACAAATCAATTTTCAACTACGCTGGAGCTGTAAGAGGACAAAGGGACCTCCTCATTAGAACCAAGAAAATGCCTTCTCTGCTATAGGATTAGAGATTGATGAGGGAGTCAGACATAACACCTCAGACAACTGCTTGTTCAAACATGGCTTTGGGGTGGGGCCAGAGAAGGCAAGAAGGAACTTTTGACAGAACAGTGATGCAATTCAAAAAGAATTAAAATTGGCCAAAAACAGGTATTACCTTATATGGGGTGCAGCTGTAGATAAAGAGATAAAAAGGAATCTTTTGAAAAGGATTTATTGCTGCAATGAATAGAGAGGTTTGCTCCTATGGTCTGAAGATGGTCCTAGAGATCATGGAATGTGTAAACAATCAGTGTCATTATGAATGTGTACTATTGGTTTAACAAACATGTACTGGTTTTAGTGGAATAGTATCTAAATTGTCATGTGCCATTGATATCAAGAACAGAGCCTTTAAACTAAAATGGATGTTGTCCAGGTCAAGAAG